GATTACAGAAGTTGTTGTGGCTACTCAGGTACATTCTACAAAGTTACCTAGTTAACCCATAGTTGCCTAACAACACAGTTAACTGATAGTTGCCTGATTCCATATGGAGGGGTGGTCTCATCTCTCAGTTTACATGATGGTCTCTGACAGACCCCTCTGGCTTGGCTTCACTTTTCTTTTCCTTTTTTTAACTAAAAATGGAACTCAGGGCCTTCATACTGAACTACACCCCCCTTTAAAATATTCTATATTTATGTTATTCCAAAACAGGATCTTGCTAAATTAGTAAGTTGTCCAGGCTGGGATTGAACTTAACATCCTTCTGCCTCAGCCTCCCCCAAACTCTTCCTTCTCTTTGGCCACTTCTCAATTTCCTCCTCTTTGACCACTGCCACCAGTGCCTTAAACAAGGTCCTACCACATCTTGCACATGCTATTGCAAGAACTCTGGGACTGGCCCCATTTTCTGTCATAGCCCATATTTAGTCCTCATTTATATTTCTATAGAGAGAATCCAGATCTTATCTGTCTTTACCAGCTATGGAACTTTAAAAAGTGCCTAAGCTGATCAGAGATTTAGATCTGTGGCTATGCTGCCTGCCTCACAAGCACAAGGTCCTGAGTTTGATCCCCAGTAGCAAAAAAGAAAAAAAAAAGTGTCTAAGTTGGGAGTGGTGGTGCCCACCTATAATTTCAGCATTCTGGGAGAATCTCAAGTTCGACTCCCATCTGGACAACTTAGAGACTCTGTCTCAAAACAAAAAAGCTGGGGATGTATCTCTGTGCATAGGACTTGGGTTCAATTCCCAGCGCAACAAAACAGAACTGAAGTTCCTGCATTTTCAGATTCAGTATCCTCATTTATAAAGTAGAGATAAGAGAGATCATAAGATCTCAAGAGTACATGAAACAGACTGCAGTATATGTAAAGCACTGTGCGTTGTTCCCAGAACACAGTAGGTGATCTATAAATGCAGTTGTCATTGCTGTTGCTAGCTAGGGCCTGTCTTTGTGCTCTCTGCCACCTGGATGAAATCCATCAGGTACGTGTGAAATCAAGGGAACCAGGATCATAGACTTTTTTGGGTCCTGGGCACTTGTATCTTCCCAGGATCTTTCTTCTCCCTCTAAAAAGTAAAAAATTAAATTTCATAGCTATGTATTCTGATTTATAAAAGAAACTTAGACATTTTTCTGGGCCCTTGAAGGAACCCTCAGCTCTGGGCATTGTTACCTACTGTGACAGCTACATGTGTCCTTCCTGCAGGGAACATGACCTTCCATCTCCAGGGTTGCTGGAGTTGTCTCCACGATTCCTGTTAGGCTCTCCCTCCCTCCCTTCTTTTTTTCCTTTCTTCCTTTTATTTGGCTATGTATGTGTCACTCATTTTTGTTCTTTCGATAATTATTGTTTTCCTTGAGTTTCTTGTCTGTTTAACTCCTTCACTGAAAGTCTCCTTTGCCCATTTTAATTTTAATTTTAAGACAATGTCTTGACAGGTCACTAAGTTGCCCAGTCTGGGTGCCAATTTGTGATCTTCCTTCTGGACTTCTGAGAGTGCTGGGATTACAGGTGTGCACCACCATGCCGAGTTTAGAAAAAAATTTTAACTGCCAAAATATGTGGGTACTTTATGGCATTTCTGGACTTATTATTGATCTTTACTCCAGATAGATGTCCTACAGGATAGTTTGAGGCTTTCTTCGTGGTGTGCCAATTGTTTCAGTGTTCCGTGTTCCCTTAAAGGTAATGTGTGCTTTCTGGAAAGTCAGGTGTAGGGCCCAGTAGATCCAAATTCTTGATCTTGTGGTTCAGTTCCTTTCTGTTGTTACTAAATTTCTGTCCTTCTGATCTGTTGAGTGCCAAGGGATGGGTTAATATTTCTTACTATCATTGTGTATTTGTTGATTTCTCTTTTTAAGGAGTTCTGTTTTTGCAGCATGTATTTTGAAGCTGAATGGTAGCTGTTAAGTGCGTGATAGTTTATAATTCCTTAGAGCTTCCTGCCAGATTGTTATTTGTATCATTTTGCAATTATTTTATTACTCCTATAAAGCCATTGCCTTAAAGTCTATTTATCTAATGTTAATATAACTACCCCACTTGTCTTTGGGTTAGTATTTGCCTTCATACATTTTATTTATGTTTCCATTCTATTTTTTAATATTCGTTGTCTTAGTTTCCTGTAGTTCCATACAAATTACTACAAATTTGGTGACTTAAAACAACAAAAATCTATTCTCTTGCAGGTCCTAGAGGTTAGAAATCTGAAATCCAGGTGTGTGTGTGTGTGTGTGTGTGTGCGTGCGCGTGCGCGCGCACTGGGTATTGAACCCAGGGCCTTCCTACTGAGCTACATCCCTGGCCCTTAATAAATTTTTTAAAAACATTTTTGAAATAGGGTCTCATTAAATCACTAAGTTGCCCAGGCTGAGCTTGAACTTGTAATCCTCCTGTCTCAGCCTCTCAGAATGCTGGGGTTATAGGCAGAGGTCTAAATTTTTACAGAGATTTCAGTTTCAATTATATTCCTCTAGAGGACTAGAGTTCCTTATTCTGTGCATGCCTGAGCTCTAAAACTCAACCTTTAGTTAATGAGCAACCCCACCTTCCTTCTCTCTCAGCAGACATGGTCTCAATTCTGGTGTTAACTTATCTCTGAGCATTTCCCTTTCTTGCAAGCTCAGCTATGCAGTGTACACAATTCATAATTATTTTATGGATCATTTCTGTGTTGGACTGGACATTTTTTATGATGGTCAGCTCCTTTTTTTGCTGCAAATGCAATTGTCCATCACACCAGGGTTTTTAAAAACTAACTTCATTGAGGATTTTATATATCCCATATGATTCATCTACTTAAAAATGTACAGCTGAGTGGGCTTTAGTATGTGAACAAAGTCATGTAACCATAACCACAATATAACTCTAAAACATTTCTAGCATCCCAAAATGAAAACCCATACACATTAACAGTCAATTCCCAGGGCCAGGGATTTAGCTCAGTGGTTCTGCCACCTGCCTCGAAAGCACAAGGTCCTGAGTTTGATCCCTGGTACCAAAAACAACAACAAAAGCAAAAGTAATTCCCACTTCCTCCCCAATTCCCCTTAACCCTGAGCAACCAGTAAGCTACTTTCTGGCCTTATAGATTTATTTAGTTTATATATCACATATAAACAGACTCAGACCATGTGGTCTTTTTTGACCAGCATGGTTTACCTGACAGTATTTTCCAGATTCATCCAGGTTGTAGCATGAGCCACTACTTCATTCTTTGTTTTTCCTAAATATCCCATTGGAGGGATATATCATAATTGGTTTCTCCATTCACTGCTTGATGGACATTTCACAAATAGAAATAAGATTGCTCTGAGCATTTGTTTTCAAGTTTTTGTGTGGAATTGCTGGGAATGGAATGCTGGGTCACATGGTGACTATGTTTGGCACCTTGAAGAACTGCCATCCCCTCTTCCAAGTGGCTAGTCCATTTTACATCCCATTGGTAACTGCTTTTGTAAAACCAAGCACAGGTGTTTGTACTTGACACAGGAAGTGTTTTGAGCCTGATTGAGATGACATTATTGGAGTATTTTGTTATACACTGAGGTGGAGTGTGACACTGAAGATAAGGAATCAAGCCAGGTGTGGTGGTGCATGCCTCTAATCCCAGTTATCTTGGAGGCTGAGGCAGGAGGACTGTAAATTCGAGCCCAACCTGGACAATTTAGTGACTTAGACTCTGTTTCAATATAAAACATATAACGGGCTGGGGATATAGTTCAGTGTAGAGGCTCTGAACCCATTGCTGCCAAAGTTAAAGTAAGATGTATAAAATAAAATAAAGACAGTGAACCAGGTAGGAAATGTTGGCTAGTCTAATTCTTAGCTGATGGGGTCTGTATGGGAAGGTGGCAGGATGAAAAGGTTAGGATTCGTAAAGTACGTGTTGAACTATGGAAACAGATCTCAGGCAGAAGAAAGATGTTCATCTGAGATCCTACTCTGACCCACTTGCCTAACCTTTGCTTTTGGTCTTGATGTTATAGAAAATACATTTCTGTTTTCAGACAAACAGGCCTTGCTGTTGTATGATAGGGAGGCACCTGACCTGAGCAGATTAGGTGGCTTTTAACTTCCTAGGATGTCTTCCTGGGAGGTCTGGGTCCTCCTTTGCTCTCTAGACTGTCCACTATTTAAAGCCTCTGTTTATATCTCTGATTCATACTCATCCTGCCAATGGAATCAAAGAAATGCTGGGTATTGGACATAGATAAACTGGTGTGTGTGTGTGTGTGTGTGTGCACGCATGTGCGTGTGTTGTGTGTGTATACACTGAGTAGCTGGAACATTTAAAATGGCAAAAGGGAATGAAAGCCGTAACAACCAAAGTTTCCTAGCTAACTATTTCTCATAACTATAGGATTTAAAAATTGCCCATCAAGCTGTTTATCATCTAATGGAACAAGAGGTGCAAAACTGCTGCCATTCTGGAAACGTGATTTGCTCAGGCGGCTTATTACAGAGGCCTTCTACTTTACTTCACATTTACGTTTTTTTTTTTTTTCTTTGTGATTTATTCGCTAGCATTTTGTATTGCCTTTGGCCATTCAGATGAAATTTAAATAAAACCATTAGGTAAAGATCCATGTCAGGCTGTTGCATGCTTTGAACTTGTGATACAATCAATCTGCACGGCTATTCTCCGTTTAAATGAAACACAATCCCCTGGCAGTTACTGTTATTTGCTGCTGTGACTCTGATGTACCAGGTTTTTTCTGACAGGCCCAACCTTACTGTGATTGCCCCATGGAGGAAGGAAACTGGCATAAATAATAGTCCCAATTTGTCCCATTTTGTGTGTCCCTCTTTGCCTTCCTTTTCCCATGTCGGTTGGTCTCTGCTGTTTGTTGTCCCCCATCCCATCTCAGTTCCCAGATTGAGTGCCACATCCTGGTAGGATACTTTTCAAATAATTCTTTCTCCTCTCTATTTCTAGGTTTATCCAAATCCCTTGGGCTCATTGAAGGTTACGGTGGACGGGGCAGAGGGGGTCTTCCTGCTACCCTTTCCCCAGCAGAAGAAGAAAAAGCCAAGGGACCCCATGAGAAGTATGGCTACAATTCCTACCTCAGTGAAAAAATTTCACTGGATCGTTCCATTCCGGATTATCGTCCCACCAAGTAAGTTCTGGTTCAGTCATTCGGATGTGCTTGCTTGGTCATATGGATGGGTCACACTGTGACATTTTCTCATTTGAAACTAACCTGGGAAAATCACTCAGTCTCTTCCATAATCAGTCAACCAAGAACTGTTGCTTATGAAATATTAGCTAAATAAAAATATTAAATTGTTTTCACAGTGATCCAGAAACGTACAGAAAAGTTCTCCATACATAAAGTTTACATTTAAATATATCACCATAATCACATTACCTAAAGGCAATAACTATTAAAGTTTTAGTATATTGAGTCCAGTTTTTTTCAGATTGTGAGCCTTTGAAATATTGCTTTTATGTTTTTTGTTTGACATCATAGGGCTTTTTTATGTTATTAATTATAATCATTATTTCCAGTATTGGAAATTTCAATTACTTTCAGTTTTTCATTATTATATATATAACATTAATCGGGCCAGGGATTTAGCTCAGTGGTTCTGCCACCTGCCTTACAAACACAAGGTCCCAAGTTCAATCCTCGGTACCAAAAAAAAAGGAGAAGGCTGTATATAATATTAATCAATATGTTTTTTCTTATTCACATGTGTATTGATTTGGTATTTATTTTCCTAATCCACAGTTCTAAAGGTATAATCTTTTTGTCACAGTTTAAAAAATATTTTTGAAGGCTCCAGAAACATACACTTTTTTTTTCAAGAATGTATAGAAACTTATAGGAGAATTTTACTAGACCCAATACTGAGTATTAGCATTTAAAAACTGCTTTTCCAGGGCCAGGGATTTAGCTTAGTGGTGCTACCACTTGCCTCACAAGCACAAGGTCCCGAGTTTGATCCCCAAGACCAAAAAGAAATAAAATATTAAAATAAAAATAAAAACTGCTTTTCCAAGTTGATAGGTGAGGAAGTATATTCTGTTATTGTTAGGTGTATGCTTTTGTTATTTTAAATTATTGCCTTTTAAAAAGTGTGGATGTGTCTTGGTTGGCTTATGGGAGGTCTTTGTTTTGTACTCTTAGATTTAGGAATTATTTTCTCTGTTTGAAATACAGAAAGGAAGTGGTATGTGGAGCCTTGATGCTGGACAAAGAGTCCCTATTTTCTAGGTAGAACACCACCACCTTCACCTCTCAAACAAATTCTCCATTTTCTGTTAGGCTTGTAGTGTTGCTATTTTTCTATTGCGAGTGTGCCCTTGGTTGGAGTAGATTATTTCTTTTTCAAATGGATTTTGTACAAATCAGTTAAGTATCCTGGTTACTGAGAAAAATAAATTCAAGATAAAGAAAATTATCTTAAATGGATTTAAAATTGCAGCATTAGCTGAGAAACCTGTTAAATCTGCCTTTCCACCTAATAAGCATACATTCATTTTGAATCACTAGGAAAATATACATCACCCTCATTGTAAGCTATTTTGTGTTCTTGGACTTGCACTCTCAAAAACATCTGGCTGTTTTCATTTCCTGGTGCTCTGTGATTAGCCTTTCTTATTTGGATGTTGGCAAATAAACATGGCCATATTATTTTTTGTTCTCCTATGTAAATGAAAATGTCTCCACCACACAACTTACTCAAAATGGGACAGTTGAACAAATATTGATGGGCACCTATTGTGTGGCGCAGGTGGCTTTCCTCACAGTAGAGACAGAACAGTGGATGAGACACAGTCCTGGCCTACTTACTTCTCGTTTGCGGAAGGAGACAGATAGGAAACAGAGCCATTTGGCACAAGGAGATGAGTATGGTGTGGGCCAGGCAAGGACACACACTGCACGTGCGGAGAAGGCCTAGAGGGTGCCTGAACTAAATCCTGATGGATGACCAAGGGTGGAGGAATAGAGGAGAGTGTTAAAGGTGGAACAGGCAGAGGAGCAGCAAGAGTATGCTAGGGTGTGATGTGCTCGGGAGGGAGGCATTGCTCAGAATTGCTTTGTGGTGCACCATAATGATGCAAACTCAACAGTTACATTTGGTCCCCTCTGCAGCAACTGAAATAATAAAGGAGCAGAGAGGATGGCAAGCCATAAGAGAAGACTAAACAGTGTTGGTGATGATGGTAGGGAAGAAACACCTACAAAATATTGGAAAATGGGAAGAGAATAGGTGAATGTAACGTGGGGAAACTGAGGCCTAACCTGTGAGAGAGGAGTAGAACCCCCAGGAACTGAACTGCCAGGTGTTTCTAATGGCTGGGATTTGCATTTGAATGGAAGGGTTATAGTTAGAGTCACATATACTTGTTTTTCAACTTTGTGTAGCCAGAGAGGTCCCTCTGCCCCAGCACTATGTGGGAGGTTTTCTCCCTGTTGAACTCCGGGTTTTAGTTCATCAAGGAAGATTAGGACAGAGAGAATAACTAAACTGCAGTCTAATGGGGACGTCTTCCAGCCTCATTATTCCTCCAGGCTCTCAGACACCTATAAGCAAGAGTGTGAAGACTGCACTTGGAGAAACACAGCTTAAGGAAAACATAGATCTGACAGTTGGGGGTACCCCCCAAATGACTGGATTTTGCTAGTTTTCTATCAGTATGGTTGCCTCTTGTAAAACTCTGTCCTTTATACACACAAAACAAATAAAATTAGAACGGACAGTCCCAGGACCAAAATACCTTCATACCAGCAGCAACAAAAATAAAGCATTTGGAGAAAACAGAGATTACAAACTTTAAAACTATAATTAGCTTAGAGAAATCATGGGATGTCTCTGTTTTGTTCACAAAACAAGAACAAATAGCTATGACTAATAAAGAAAATAAAAAAATAAAGCTTGGAAGTTAAAATTTAGGTAGAAATAAATAATTCATTAAAAGGTTGAATGATAGCATTGAGGAAATCTTTTGAAAAATAAAAAGAGAGATGGAAAACAAGAGAGGAAGATCAAATAAGAACTAGGAAAGATCAACTCAGTAGGTTCACCATCCACTATCAGGGATATCAGAGAGAATAACAACCACCACAACAAAAACACAGAGAAGAAAATCAACAAAGAAATGACACAAGAAATTTTCCCAGAATTGAAGGATGTTAGATTTTACATTAGAAGATCCCATGCTTTGAGTGCATAATTTATGGAAAGAGAGACATTAAGCACACATTAAGAAATCTAAATGTAAAATTTCAAAATACCTTGAGTGAAGAAAAAGTCCTAAAAGTTTTAAGAGGAAAAATGCTGATCATATATACTCGGTGTTGAGTTTCTCAGTAGCACCATTTACGACTACAAGATGGTAGAGAAATGCTTAAATAATTTTGAAAGAAAAGAATTATTTGCAACTTAGAATTCTGTGGTCAGTCATAGAATACTTTGGACCAGGAGCAAGCACAATGTAATTGCATTGCAGACATTTAGGGTCTCAACAATTTTATCTTTCTTGCAATGTGTTCTCAGAAAGCTACTTAAGCATGTTCTCCAATAAAACAAAGGAATAATGTTAAGAAAGAAATAATAGAATGTAGGACACTGATGACAAACATTTTAGGGACTGAGTGTCCAAACTGTAACTCTAAACCTACTTATTTATTGCGAAGTGCCAACACAGCAATTCAACCTGAATATTGATGTTTTAGTTTAGAAAATAAACAACTATTAACCAATGGTGCTGGTGCAACTTGGCTCACATGCAAATGGCCACTGATCTAGGAAATGGAAGTTCAAATGGGCAAATGCTGAAGGCAGATCCTAGAGAAATGCTAAAGGAATGTTCCATGGTGACAGCTATGAGGCATGGCAGGAGACCAACCATTCTACCATGCTAGGAGGTGCATCTTGCAGAAAAGTGGGGCAGGGGAGCAGATTGAATTGTTTGATTGCCTAATTTTTGACTACATGACGTTTTTGGTGAACATTTCTTCTGAAGGTCTGGGACTATTTACTTAATAGACACAGAAATCTATGCTGGTGAAAAAGAAAGCCAATTATTAACTAGAGATAAAAGTGTGCCAAGAAAGGAATTTCAACTCCATATACTAAGTGGCTTAGCTTATATAAAACTATGTAAATGTATATATTGCATGATATAATTATATGAATGTAAATATTTCACTTTGATTTATGCACAATTTATCGTGTTGTATTGGGAGGAGATGGAGGCGAAGTATGTGTGGTGCAAATACTGTGAGAAAATTAAATCTTCACGTTTTGTAATAGATCAATATCTAAAACTTACTCATCGATAAATAGTAACATGGTCATTATATTTGAAAACACAGAGATTACCAACGTGCTGTGAGACTGTGTGATAGCTAATTGATTGTGTCAACTTGAGTAAGAAACACCCAGCCAAAGTGGATCAGCATAGTTCTGGGTGTGGAAGACCCATTCTAGGGAATTTCACCACCAGAACCGAAGAAGGAAGGCTCACTTCTGTTTTATCAGCCAGCAGGGCACCAGTCTTCACCTTCACCCTAGACATCATCTCCTGGCTTCCTGCACAGGCTCTTCAGCCTTCCACAGCCTTCCAGCTGGGACTCTTTTGCCCCCCAGCACAGACACTTCAACCTTCCGGTGCAGACCCTTCAGCCTCCTCATAGGGAATTACACAGGACACTATACTGAGCTCCAGGCCTTCGACTCGACCCGTTGAGTCTTTAGTGCAGACAGACCTTTTGCACTCTTCCATACCCGACTCTATGGGTGGCCATTAAAAGCCAATCTTATAAATTCTTATATATTTGTATATCTTGCATTAAATCTGTTTCTTTAGTAAGCACTGACCGATACAGACTGTGTATGTTTTGTCTTACTAAATAAAATTTCAGTTACATTATAAATACAAATCTATGTCAAACATTAAGTGCAAGACAGGTGGGATGAAAGTAAGGTAGAAGAAGGAGTTGAGCAACTGAGTGGAATGACGTGAACATAATAGTCTTCTCCAATTATACTGCAGCTCTATGTTGGATACATTTGAAAGTGGAATTTGAGGTGAATTTGAGTACTTACCCACTGGCCATACGTGGTATACATTGGAAATTCTGAGTGACACAGAAAAAGCTATCAA